GGACAAACTAACTTTAGCCCTAAAAAACAAAGATTCCTCAATATATTATAACAATTGGAATTGCTTGTATAAATGGTTAGACCAAAGATAGACTTAATATCATAAGGTAAAAAAGAATGGGATAAACTTATATGAGTGTAATCTAAATATAGATATGGATAAGAGGTGCGTATATGATATAAATTAAGAAAAGAAAAGATCTTACAAACTGTCGAAAATGAGAATGTTTTTAAGTGTTCACCTTTTTCTTTCTTTCTTTCTTTCTCTTTCTTTCTTTCTCTTTTCTTTTCGCGTTTCTTCCTTTCTTCCTTGCTCTTTTCTGGATTTTCTATTTGTGTATATGTTGTTGATTTGTTTTTAATTGTAAAATTAATAAAATTTGTTTGTTTTTTAAAAGAAAATTAATAAAATTATTTTTAAAAAATGCTTAGCTGAGCAGAATAAATTAGTGATCCAAATCCTCTTCTTTTCAATCCTTCTGTTTTAAAAAATCTTGAAACACTTCCCTTTTTGTGTTTCCTCTACTCACTAACAGCTGGTGCAATACTGAATTTCTTAAGAGCTGAATGTCTAAAAATATCTTCTTAACTCCAGCTTTGCACATCCATCCACCTGTTAAGATTCTTAAAGAATTATTAACCTCCAAAATGCACACAGCAATAGAGCTATTTTTCATATAATTGTGCAGATACCTATATGTAGGAGATATTATTTGTAGTCTACACAATGTTATTATACTATTTTTGTGGTCTGCACAATGCTATTATGCTGTGATCTATAACGTATTTGTTAATGCACTACCAATGGCTTCATAATGCCAATGAGGTATATTAATGAACAAAGAGAGTAAGAAAGCACAACTTCTCTGAATAATATTTGCCAATTCCATAAAACAAATGTGGATACCAGAATCAAGGCAGGACAAGACTCCAGGGTCTTCTTATTCAGCAGAATTATTAGGAGGCACCTTATTTGTGAACTGGATTGATGTTTCATCAGATGAAATTTGAACTGCAATTTCAACTCTATTTAAACCAAAACTTCTTGATGCTCTTGTTTGGCTAATACATGAGAATGTATTATAAACCAAAAAATGACAAATCAGGAGCTTGAATAATATCAAGCTGATTGATTTAGTGTCAATTATGGCCATTTACTCTAGTTGCTCTCCAGAAACAAAAGTTTCAGGAAGACCACAGCATTGGGTCTGCTTACAAGTATGTAATGTACATACAAGTATGTAATGCATGCATGTATTTATTTATTTATTTCATACAGCAAATTTATATGGCTGCCTATGTCAGAAAAAGTGACTGTAAGCAATATATAATAAACACTAATCCTAAAAATACAGTTACTATTAAATATAATTTTAATAGTTATTGCAAGATTGCAAGATACATAATTGCAATTGCAAAATGCATAAGAGAACAGATGGTAGTTCCAGCTAGGCTAATAAGAAACTAGGTATGTTTAGCCTAATGAAGAGGGTGATATGTTAACAGTTTTCCTGTATTTGAAGGGATGTCACACAGGGAATCGATGTATTCTCCAAAGCAGAACAACAAGCAATGGGTGAAACTTCATCAGAAGGAGATTCAACCAGGAAATGACAAGGAATTTCCTGAGGGTGAGAATGATTAATCAATGGAACAGCTTGCTTCCTGGGGTTGTGGGTGCTCCATCGCTGGATATTTTCAAAACAAAGATTGGACAACCACTTAATGTGATGTAGAAGACCTCCAAGGTCTTTTCCAGCATTATGATTTTAGGATTCTATATCCAGAAGGGATGATCAAGTCACCATCAAAGAGTAATACACAGAGAAAGGCTAGATTTTAGAGAAAAGCTCATCAAATGTCACTTCCAAGTGCTGAGGCACAGTGGGACTGCAGCGGTCTAGCACAAAAACGTGATTTATTGTTTATAATTTGTCTCACTGCCTGTTTAGTTCTGGGTTTTAGAACTACAATAGTTCTGCATTGTGCTTCATGTCCCCTAATTATGGCACAAGTTCTGACCTGGTTACATTGATTTTTTTTAATATAGTATGAACAATTATGCAGAACTAGGATTACTTTTGGATCTAGTTTTAGATTTTAGTTTTGGCACTAGGAAGTTTAACAAAATAAAAATATGTAGAACTTGTTAAATTTCCTGCAACTCTACACTTCTATTGCATTCTGCTTATATCGTAAATTGAATGGCATTTGGAATTTCCAGCTTGAACAAAATTCTTTCAAAGAAATTTCCAAGAGTTTCCAATAAATCTTTAGGCATGGTTTTTCAGTCTAAGCAGCCTAAAATTTCTTCTTTCCGAGTGATAAATTACTACAGAAAGTAGTTAATGAAAGATTCACAGTGCCTGCTTCCGAAGGTCTTGGCAACATTTGAATGGCATAGTGGGGACCTCACTGTAAGAGGGATAGGACAAAAACTAAAATGCTGAATTGATTTTAACCCACTGGTAGTGATCTAGATCCCAATGCAGTACAATTGAAACATGCCTTTAATCCACATTAAAAACACATGAGTAAAACATGAGTAAAACAGTAAAATATGTCATGCACATCCAGAATTTGAGCAAATATCCAAACCCTTTATAGCCACATGCCGACATGAACTGCAAACTGTGCACTTAGGAGTTGACTTATGACCCTCCAGATACATTGATCCCCAGTTCTCAGCAGATCTAGTGAATAGCATCAGAAATAAAATATTACAGGAAGTGCAGTCCAATAACATTTGGAAAATTACTTGCTGACTCCATTGTTATGGCTATAGCAGGGACCACTTCAACCTCATCACTGCAAGTCAAAAGAACAGTGATATGAGAATGAGTGATATTTTAGGCCTCTTCAGACACAAGGTTTCAGATTGTTACAGAGTAATAAATACTAAACACATTAAGATTCTATAAAAAATCTCTATCGGATCTATAAAGCAAATATTGTTTAAACACAAGTTTATTTATTCACTTAGGCTGAAATCCTAAGTGGAGCTACTAGAAGTGAGCTCCTTGTAGGCTTACCTCAAGAAAGTATAGTTGAAATGTATGCAAATACTTGCATGAAAATTCCTCTACAATTGTTGAGTTGCTACTCCCTCATAATTTTTTCTTCTACAGAGTATATACAACTAATAATAATTAGATTGATAACTGAATGTTAAATATTTTAATATACAGTACATACAGGCTGATAGAAATTTATTGAATATGAGCAATAAGCCTTTAGCACTTCTTAAAAATCTGTTTTGTTTTCTAATTTGGGATTTTGTTGTTGCTTTTTTAGAACCATTATTACAGTCATCTATATAATTTCAGGTATGGAATAGTAAAAAAAAGCATTACTCACTGTCCAGGTTTAGCTGAGCAGATTAAGTTACTGATCCAAATCCTCCTTTTTCAATTCTCCTACTATGTTTTTTTTTTAAACACTTCTCTCTTTGTAGCTCTTTGTCCCTAGACTAAGTAAGTACTACTGGTGCAATACTTAAGAACTGAAAGTATTTAAAGACCTCCTCTTAACTCCAGCCCTGCACATCTATCTACCTGTTGAGGTTCTTAAAGGAATATCAGCCTCCCAAATGCACACAGCATATAATTTTGCAGGCACATGCATGAAGAAAATATGATTTGTAGCCTGCACAATGTTTCCAATGGTTTCATAATGGCAATAGGGAATATTAGCAAACTTTGGAAGAAAGAAAATACAAGTTTTCTGGATAATATTTGTCAATTCGGTAGCAGAAATGTGGACACGGGAATAGAGTCAACCCACATGAACTCCACAATTTTTGATATCTTTATTTTAATTATATATCAAATGTATATGGCTGTCCATGTCATGAAAAGTGACACTGGGCAGTGTACAGCAATTAATAAAACAATAAACATATAAAAAGAGTCATTATTAAAAATGTAAAAAAATCACAAGGAAAAAGTAAGAATACATGTTAAATTCCAGTCAAATTGATATCCAGAGAAATTATGATACAGAGCAGTGGTGGGATTCAATTTTTTTTACTACTGGTTCTGTGGGCGTGGCTTGGTGAGCATGGGAGGTGAATGATATTGTAAAATCTCCATTCCCTCCATACTCCTCGGGGAAGGTTACTGCAAAATCCCATTAACCTGATTTCCAGCTTTGTTCTCCTGCACAGGGCAACAAAAGAAGACCCAGCCGATCAGCTGGGACTTGGCAGAGAATAGAGGGGGGCAGGGCCAATCAGAAGTGATATTTGCCGGTTCTCCGAACTACTCAAAATTTCCACTACTGGTTCTCCAGAACTGGTCAGAACCTGCTGAATACCACCTCTGACACGGAGCTAAGGAATGCAAATGCCTTAGAGTCCTCAAAGCAGAATAGACACATAATTCTAGGTTTTAGAGAAGGGCTCCTCGTTTGTAATGTAATTACAAATCTCATTGCCGAGGCCTAGTAAGACTGCAGCAGCCCAGTACTAAAGTATGATTTGTTGCTTCTAATTTGGCTCCCTGCCAGTTAGTTCCGGCTCCCAGGATTACTATAATTCTGCATTGTAATTCCTGTCCCCCCAACTATGTCTTAGGTTCTGACCTGGTTGACTTACTTTTTATACAGTGCGAACTATTGTGCTTGACTTCTGGATTGCCTTTTGATCACATTTCACTGAACTACTTTGTCTTTCAAACCAAGGCAGGGCCAAGATGCTAAAAAAGCTTGAATGGATGCATGGATATATAGCATTATAGAAATGGGAAAGTACAATCTCAAAGAACATATCCATTCTGTAAAGGCAGCCTTAGCTTGAGACTTCAGTGCCCAAACAAATATCACATCAATAAATTGAGAAATATATGAAAATAATGGTTTTGTTATTGCAAATAAAGAAAGTATTAGATTAAAAAAACACTTTTCAAAATTTTCAAATTATGTTAATTTTCTTTTCTAAAGCTTTTTACATTAAATCTGTGATTCTATGAATCTTATTATGCGAAGGAGGGTTATAGTTATTCTCTCTCTCTCTCTCTCTCTCTCTCTCTCACACACACACACACACACACACACACACACAACTTAAGATCATTGATGGACGACTATTTTGAATTTTCAGAGAATTCTGAACCACAAAGCCACATCACATTATAAAAATTGCTGAAATGTTAATATCCTATGAAAGTAAGTACAACCATTAGTCATACCGGGAATGCTACCACAAAAACAAAGCTAAAGAAATGTCCAGTGGTTTTTAACCAGAGGTGACTGCAGAGGGGTGGCTTTAAAAAAATCAATATGGCTGCTAAAACCATGAGGTTGAAGCCTGTCCTTTTTTATATGTGTTATGATTTGTACAAAACAGGGGTGGGGCTTCAATTGTGTGATTGGCCGCCATCTTTAACTTTTTTTTAATCTCCTTCTTTTGTCTCTAAAGCTATTTTTCAGGTTGGGAAATGAAATGTTGGACAAATAATGGTCTAACACAGGGGTCTCAAGCTTGATATCATTGAGGGCTGCATCAGGGTTGTGTTTGACCTTGGGAGCCCTGGGGGGGCATGGCCAGCATGACATCACTCATGCCGGGGGCACCTGTGGAGGCTAGAGCACTCCGCCAGTGAAAATGGGTTCCCAAGCTCCATTTTTAACTGCAATGGCTTCCTGCAACCCTCTGCTAGCTAAAACAGAACTCGGGAGGACCATTTGCAGCCCTCACAAGCTCCATTTTTGCTGGCAGAGGCACTGTGGGCCAGTCCTTTGTTGTTTCCAGGGCAGCCCCATGGGCAATATCTAAGCACCCCATGGGGCGGATCCAGCCCCCAGTCCTGAGTTTGACATCCCTGGTCTAACATAACATATTGCAACAAAAAAGATTCATAAGGTGCTTTGTCTAAAGTGGCTGAGACATGGACTTCAGACTCTTCTGTCATTTGGCTTTACAAGAAAGAAAAAGAACCGGACGGACAAGGATTTTTCTGAAACAGAAACTTATTACCTGTTTCTCATCACAAGAATGAACCAAAGAAAGATAGTTTCGCTTTACCATAAATCACATGTCCTGTACCTTAAGTTTAAAAAGAACTATAATAATAATATATCAGGTTTTATGTTTGGGTTTAAGATTGTGATCATACATTCTCACTGCAATAGAAAATATCTTAGTTTTAAATATCCTTTAATTCAGCTGACCTTATGCAGGCATTCATTTACTTTTTCTAACTCTCAAAACTATAAAATAAGGAAAGGCAAGTGAAATCCAAACTTATGATTCCTATTCTATTAATAGCTTTTGTGTACAAATTATTTCTTTTATGAAAATGACTACTGCAGTTAAAAGAAAGTAAGTTTTAATTCCAAACCAATATGTATTACTTATTAATAGCATTCTGGCTTTTAGTCTGGGCATTCGTTCAAGTGGCTGACAATAAGACAATAGTGCACATTATTTGCATTTGCCCTGCTATTATTTATAAGTGTAGATAATCCTTGATTTATGATCACATGTGGGACCAGAATTTCCATTGCAAGGCTGTTGTCAAGTATATTACACCTTATTTTACAAACTTTATTCTTATACTTGTTAAGTAAATCACTGCAGTTAAGTGAATCATGCAGTAATTAGACGAATCTGGCTCCCTGCATTGACTCTGCTTGTTGGAAGCTAACTGGGGAGGTCACAAATGATGATCACATGACTCCAGGACCCTTCAACTGTCTTAAATACGGTATATGCCAGTTGCCAAGTGCCCAAATTTTGATCATGTAACCGAGAAAACGCTGCAATTGATGTAAAATGCAAAACTGGTCATAAATCATTTTTAAGTATCATTGTAAATTCAAGTGATTGCTAAGTGAGTGATTGTAAGTCGAGAACTACCTGTACTACATAATTTATCATAAAAGGGCTGGAACAGATGTTAAGCAAATTAAAAAACTGTGCAGGAGTTATCAAAACTATTTGCAGTAAGGGTATTTTTCCAATGTAAGGGGAGAAATAGATTCACATATTTTGTTCAATTGATTTTGAAAATACATCTTTCAGAAAAAGAATTAAATGATTATAGTTTTAAAAAACTGAATGTGGGGGGGGGGACAGATTGCTTTATTGCTATTTGCATCCCCCCCCCATTTTTTTGTTATCACAGGTCAATTTTACAATATTGATTTTATTTTTTGAGTGTTGATATTTTTCAACTTGGAGCACATTGTTCTTCAGCCAGTTCTCATCATTTGCCTTTTAACAAAATTAGTATTTGATGAACATTTCAAACAGATGAAGCCATCTTCCCCCCCACTTTTAAAAACATCTTACTAAATAGTATAGATATAATGATTAAGGTGTTGGCCTAGAAAACAGGAGATTGCATTCTAGGCCTCCCTTAAATATGAAAGCCAGTTGAGTGACGGGGTTTTCACTCTCCCTCAGCCCAACCCACTTCCCAGAGTTGATGTTGGAAAATAATAGGCAGGAATAGGCAGGAATAGGTATGTTTTCTGCCTTGAGTAATAGATATACAAGTGTGGGGTAAAAAAAGGATGGGGTTAAAAAATAATAATCCTCCAGTGAAGCACATAGTTGTGGGCCTTGTGTGCTCTGAAGAAGATGAGAGCTATGCCAGAGGTTCAACTATACTGGACAGGTCTCAACAGAGGATCCAGATGAAATGTGTCTTTCCTATAAACAATATGGATACAACTTACAGAAACTTATACTGGATCAGTCCTTGCTTGGGTCAACAAGGACTTTGGTCAGTGTTGGAGTTCTTGGACATCTGGTGACAAGAGAGCTATAGAACTCAGGACTATTAGCTGAGCAATCAGGATCGACAGCAGCAGGATGAATGGAAGAAGAGTTACCTATTGCAATATACGAAGACTGAAAACAAAGAAATATTGATTTGCTATTACAAATCAATACCAGTGAGAAGAGGATATTCAAAAAGAATGCACCAGTTCTAGAAAGAACAATATCCAGTAATAACAGGGAGGAGACTAGCAGATCAATGTCAGTTTGTAATATGAAATAAAGTATTTAAAGAGATAGAATTAGAAGAACTGCAAAGATCTACTCAAGGTAAAAAAAAAACACCAAAGTCTTGCCAGAAGTAATTCAGACAGAAGAGAAAAACCAGAAGGAATTGGTAATAGAGAAAGCCAGCATTACTAATGAATTTGGGAATTCTCATTCCCAAACCAAGCACCTTTTGCTCTACTTTCTCCTCAGAAAGAACAAATTCCTACAATTGAAAAACAAGAGGAACTGAAATGAAAAATAACTGAGCATCTAGAACAGCACAAAAATAATAGAATGACATAGTCTGCTTTGAACAAAACCAACCAACCAAATAAAAAACCAGCTGGCCAAAGTATTAAAAGATGCCAATATTGTAATATAAAATATAAGCACTAGCTAACTGCATGAAACAAACCAACTGATGTACAGCATAGCTGCATTTATAACTGAAGATTTTGGATACAAAAGCAATCAATGAGCAAGAGATAAGCTAAACTGCGCACCACCAAAATGGAAGATAGGGTAAGACAATAAGGCCAGTATGTTAAAATCAGATGCAATCAAGCTACAGCCAATGAAAAAAAAAGCTGAAAAAGAAGACCAAAGAATATCTGATCCAGAAATAACACCTAAAGACAAGCCCTGGAAAATTTAAAGCAGGAAATAACAACAGTAGCCAAGAAAATCAGCAGGTACAAAGTTTGAACTGTACCTTACAGCCAGAGTCTCCAATTTCAGCCTAATCAGAAAGGTTTCTACCAATTAATCAATAGAGAGAGTGCAATAAACCAGCCAACATCTTACAAGAAAAAACTGCAGTTCTGGGCGCAACTATGGAACAATAAAACCAGAATGCAGCTTGGATAAAGGAAGTGGAGAAGGGGAAAGGTTGAAATGGAAGAACTTGTAATAACAGCAAAAATGGTTTAGAAAAGAGCAAGGAAGACAAGTTGAAGATGAACTGCATAATATTTGGTTGAATCATCTGACCACTCTGCACCCACAGATTTCCAAACAGTTTAACAATATACAGCAAGGAGCTGAAATTGAATATTGAATAATGGAGGTTCATTCTCTGAGCTTGTTGGTTGGTTTCCAAATGTTTTGTTACCAGACTAGGTAACATCTTCAGTGGATTAGATCAGTGGTGGGTTTCAATTTTTTTTTTACTACTGGTTCTGTGAGCGTGGCTTGGTGGGCATGGTAGGGGAAGGATACTGTAAAATCTCCAGTCAGAGGTGATATTTGCTGGTTCTCTGAACTACGCAAAGTGTTCACTAACAGTTCTCCAGAACTGGTCAGAACCTGCTGAATACCACCTCTAGATTAATTCCCCTCTGGATTAGTTCCGCTGAAGATGTTACTTAGCCTGGTAATAAAACATTCAGAAACCAACCCATAAGCTCAGAGAATGAAGCTCCAACCTTCATCCTCCACTCGAGCTACAGATATTCACCACCTTTGCAAACATTGATTAATATCTGGCCAAACCTACCTGTTAATGAAAGATTCAACAAAAGTTAATGAAAGATTCAACTAAATTGGCAGTTACTGGCCAATTACCTAATTACCAACAACATTAAAGTTGCTAACTGGTATGGTAGCAGATGCAGTTCAACAGCATCCACTTGAAAACACGTTATTTTCCACCAAAGCAGAAAAAAACAGCAGAGGAAAAAAAGATCAGTTCCTAATTGACAAGACGATTTTGGAAAACTGTAAAAGAAGGAAGACCAACTTGACCGTAGCTTGGATTGATTACAAGAAGGCATCTGACTCCCTGTCACATAACTAGATAATCAAGTGCCTAAAAATAATAGGAGTCAGTAAAAAAATCTGAAGCTTTGTGAAAAGATCAATGGTATAATGGAAGATGCTGGTCAATGGTGATATATATTGGGAGCAGTGGTGGGATTCAATTTTTTTTACTACCGGTTCTGTGGGTGTGGCTTGATGGGCATGACAAGGGAAGGATACTGTAAAATCTCCAATCAGAAGTGATATTTTCTGGTTCTCTGAACTATTCAAAATTTCCACTACCAGTTCTCCAGAACTGGTCAGAACCTGCTGAATACCACCTCTGATTGGGAGAGATTAATATCAAGAGAGGAATCTTTCAAAGAAATTCACTATCACCACTACTGTTTCTCATAGCACTGATTCCTCTGTCAATACTACAAAACAAATCAGACATGAGTACCAAACATCAAAAACATCGGCCAGCCCCTTTATATGGATGACCTGAATGTGTATGGAAAAGACCATCTGAAATGGAATCACCACTTAACATTGTCCAAATATATAGCCAATATTTGGACTGGAGTTTAGATTGGCAAGTAAAAACTGGTGGGACCATAAACAGACAAAATAATAGAAAATGAAGAAGCTAATCTGCTCTGGGACTTTAAAACAAACAAGCATCTGCTATACAACACCCAGACATAATCACTGTTGATAAGGAAAAAAAGTCTGGATCATGTATATTGCAATACCTGGAGATAGCAAAAAAAAAACAAAAAACGGGAAAGAACTGGGGAAAATCACAAAATACAAAGACATGCAAATAGAACTAGAACAGCCATGGCAAAAGAAAGCGAACATAGAATCCATAGTGATAGGTATCTTGGAGCATCTGGAGCATTGTATGAATGCTATTGGCCTTGACAAAATCACCATCAGTCTGCAAAGGCAGTTTGACTTAGGTTACTTCCTGTGACAATATCTTTAATATTATTAAATAATTATTAACACCTGCCTATTCCAGATCTTCAAGAAGGACTTAATAAGTGGATAAAAATGCCAATCCAGTTTAAACATTTGGCTGATTCTGCAACCAACCATAATAAGGTTAGTAATGTAGTAATTTATATCAAAAATTCTAGGAGACAAAAGTTCAAGTGGGTGGAACTATCTGGTTACATTTCTGATTTTTCTCATTATATGTACACCGTACAATGAATTGCCTGTTTAAACTCCTTCCAGATTTAGGGTTATGACATATATAACCTCTACTATTTACCACACAAAAAAGGCCAAAGTCCCCTGGATTGCATAACCACAATTGCAGAATTATTTGACTTTTTGCCATTAAATATTATCAGAAGAATTCTGCCCAAGGCTGCACTTGACTAAAGTGCCACTGTAATCTTCCTGAATTATTTAGTTTAGTTCTTTAGATTGGACACTATGTGGCAACTTGAAGAGAAAAAACGTTGATTTATTGCTTGGCAGCTGATTTATGGTGAGTTGTATACTAATTATGAGTTCTTATCATTTTAAATGAGGGCTAGGACTTCAATTCAGATTTCAATAACTGCTATTACTCTTTGAAACTGAATTGCTAGGAAATGAAATATTATTGTTCCGGCAATTTGAGAAATTTTGAGACTGAAACTAGTAGCAATGAAGAACTGTCTATCTTTCTTTTAAATTTTTTTTGGCTTACATTACCACTGAATTAAACACACTACTGATGTGTTTAATTTACACAGAGAGCGGGAAGGAGGGAGGGAGAGAGGGAAGTAAAAAGTAGGGAGGGAGAGACAAAGACAGAGAGAGAGGGGAGGGAGGGAGAGGGAGTGGGAGGGAAGTAGGGAGGGAGAGACAAAGACAGAGAGAGGGGGGAGAGGGAGGGAAGTAGGGAGGGACAGACAAAGACAGAGAGGGAGGGAGGGAGGGAGAGGGAGGGAAGTAGGGAGGGACAGACAAAGACAGAGAGAGAGGGAAGTAGGGAGGGAGAGACAAAGACAAAGAGAGGAAGGGATGGAGAGGGAGGGAGGGAAGTAGGGAGGGAGAGACAAAGATAGAGAGAGAGGGATGGAGAGGGAGAGGGAGGGAAGTAGGGAGGGAGAACAAAGACAGAGAGAGGGAGAAGGAGGGAGGGAGGGAGGGAGGGAGAGGGAGCCACGCACATGCATGCAATGTTAGACATCTCTTAGAAGCCTCAAAAATCATTTTTAAAAATCAATTATTGTTTTTATTATTATTACTATTTAATATGGTTTCCATCATTACAAAATTCCATGTCAGTTTAACTACGGTGGGTTTTATATATTTCTACAGAAGCGCACGTTACATTGGTGACTTGAGGTTTTATGGCTTGCATTAATACTTTACCATTATATATGTGTACTTAATCATTTTATTTTAAATATACATTTGCACATAGGCAAATGTATTACAGTAGAGCTTGATAGTTTAATCTACTGTCTACAATTGTACTATTTCTAAAAGATACTAAAAGATGGAAATTAGGCAAAAGGTAATTTTAATTATGAATCTAAAATCTTCTAAAAGCCTCAAACTGGTCAAGAACATAAAGAACACATGTTGTATAAAATAGCTACAGGGTGTTATATCCAAATGAGCTTTTAGGACAGCAAGTTCTCACTGTGAAAACTTATTTAATTATTATTATTAAATATCTGTAGAACTGCACCTCAAGGGGTAAAACATCTCTTAAATGGTAAAATCCAATCGTCACAGCCATCGTTCACTGAACCAACTTGAGAGGCCACATATTTAAGATTAAATCTGGTGTGAAGCATCAAAAGTGGGAGAAAGTTGTATCATATATAGAACAAGGATTTTTATTCAACAAACACTTTTCAAAGTATTAGCCCTTCATTTTGAAATGAGCAAGATATATGGATATCTTACTCATGAGGCAAGATAATAAGAAAAGAAAATGAGTAAGTTTAGCCCTGGGAACGCTGGGGTAGTTATAACCATCAGTTCCTCTACTGTCAGCTGCTGCACTGGAACAGCCTATATCAGATATCCAAGTGCTCCTTAATAAAAGTAAGATGGCGTTCAGTAAATGCTGATCTGCAATATCTGTAATTTGTGGGACTGAATTTGTATCACCTGGTGACCATTTGAATTTTTAGTGATGCAAACTGGTTGTCTGTCTAATGTAGGGGTCTCCAACCTTGGCAACTTTAAGACTTGTGGACTTCAACTCAGAAATCCTTTGCTGGCTGAGGAACTCTGGGAGTTGAAGTCCACAAGTCTTAAAGTTGCTAAGGTTGGAGACCCCTGGTCTAATGCATCATGACATTGTCACACAAATGATCTGATTATGTAATTTGCATCATTCTCATTTTGAAGACTGTTGCGATTAAGAGAGTCACATTACTGTAATACATGATGGCTACGTATTCTGCCATTACCCCCAGATTCCAAAGCTTACTGCTAAATCTTAGCAAATTTCATTCCAGTAAAATAGGCATGGGATGAGATTACATTACAAAATAAGGTGGGGAAAGAAGCTAATACAAAATGGTAATCGTATCTGTATAATCTAACAGGTATCTCCATAGGTTCTCTGTATAATATGAGCAAAGTTATTTTGAAGGCGATCAGTCATTTTTACTTGAGTCTTCAGGATTGGCTAAACAATAGATAGTAACTGTGGCATTTGCTAAAAGAGAATAAAAAAGAGAGGAATTAATTTGATATCCTATGGATTTAAGCACATAAGTATTTTAGAATAATTGTGTTTATACAAAATTGACAGAAAGGAAGCTTGATAGTGGAAATTCCTATCCAATGTAATATTTTAGATATTTTTTATTTATAATAATTTATTATTTTCTGAAGCTTTACATTTCAATTATATAATTTGCTGTCTTAGCTGATAAATATGCGCTTACTAGCTTTTTAAAAAATGTAAACTATAGCATCTTAAAGTCCCACATAAATTGTGGTTTTTTTCACTTTGAACTTAATATGAGGAGTCCTTGGTGCTCTTTGAGCTTGCTTGTTTTCTTGCACTAGTACTGATGATGTTACCTAGTAATGAAATGTCTGCAAGAAAACGATCAAGCTCAGAGAACACCAAAGACTGCTTTCAGTTCTGAGCTATAAATATTCTCTTTTATTGGAACTTTATATGAACAGAAGATAAGGCCAGGGCTCTGCTATAGGATCCATTCATCATAAAAATTTTGGATTGACTATAAGAGAGTGATATTATTGCAAAATATTATTCAAGGGAGGGTAAATACAAAAACACAATAATTATTGAGAAGAAAAATATTATCATCTATTCATAACAATGTAAATTCACAGCTGTTGGTTCTTTAGCTGGTGTTTACTTTCATATGCATCAAGTTCTTCTCAAGAACCTAGATAACTTTCCAAATGTCTCTTTTAAATAATAAATGATGACAATTTGGTACCCTTCAGATGCCTTAACTTTTATTAGTTCCCACAACATAGCAAAATAATGTGTAATTTTTGTCCAGAATAGCTGGTAGGCATCAGAGTGCTTGATTTTGACAAGTTGCTGCAGACTAAATTCACTTGTATCCAAAGACAAGCATACCATATCTCGCAAACTCCAGATGAGAAAAAAAAATGTTTTCAAATAGTTTTTAATTATTATTAAATATTTTAATATATGTTTCCAAATAGGCCAGATTTTGCAACCCAACTAAAGTAGGTCTATTAGTAAGGAATGAAAAGTTGAAGGGAATTTGAGTCACAGAGGTGAAAATATTGTACCTTCATCAGAATTTAGAACACCCTCATCTTCTTCTGCTGAATTTCTACTATCATTTTGGGTATGTTCCTCCGAATGCTTTTGACTAGTTGATAGCATTTCTCCTTCAGGACTTTTTGAAGTAATGTTAAGCAATGCTTTAAAAAAGAAAACAGATCCTTACATTTTTATCCATTAACCATTGATATAACATAATAGAATTACTGTACCCTGATTTTTCTTGAAATGTGGGAACAAACCAGTGGTGGGATTCAAATTTTTTTACTACCGGTTCTTTGGGCGTGGCTTGGTGGGCGTGGCAGGGAAAGGATACTGTAAAATCCCCAGTCAGAGGTGGTATTTGCCAGTTCTCTGAACTACTCAAAATTTCCATTACCGGTTCTCCAGAATTGGTCAAAACCTGCTGATTACCACCTCTGGAACAAACCATACATATACATATATACACATTCACACATTTACCAAGACCCATATGTCTGTGCACAGACATACATACATGAATACTCTTTGAAAATATCCATTTTTGCCAAACTTGGCTGCAAAAATATATCAAATAAAGGCAGTAACTAAATATATATATGCTTGCAAATGTAGCTTTTGTTCTAAACTGCCATTCATTTTATCAGGTGTCTGCAATTAAACAGGACCATCTAGGAAGGGGTGGGATTCTACCAATTTGGCCTGGTTTGGGTGAACTGTTAGCTCCAAGAATCAGCTGTGAGTCAACCATTCTCTCCAATGATCAGCTGTTGAGCCCATCCGCCTGCCCGGACTCTAGTCTGTGCTTTATATCCTGGTTTTCAAGCTCAACTGATTTGCACAGCACAGTGGATTGCCATGCATCCACTGTTCAACATAGCTGGAGAAGGTCAGTAGCAAATGCTCTGCGTGCGTGCAAAGTGTGTGTTACACCAGTTGAATCGCACCCCTGTATCTAGGCCTGTATATATGCAGGCTTGTATGTATGTAGGCCTGTATATATGCAATGTGCATTACAGACAGAGTAATCTGAATAATCTGGTGAGATAAAGTAGTTCCATGTTTTTGGCCACCCAGGTCTAGATAATATTCCATCTTTGACTCTGCACAGGGTGGCACTTCCCCAAACTGAGCTGGTGCACAACTCGGGGATGCTTCTGGACTCATGGCTCCTATTCAAGGAGCAGGTGGCAATGGTTGCTAGGGAAGCTTTTATATAGATTCATCTAGTGTGTCAATTGTGCCCTTTTCTGAACCAGGAGGCCTTGCTTATGGTCACTCATGCCTTGGTCATCTTTACATAATTCAGACTGTAATCCTTTGGTCAGTGGGAAGATTCTAAGATTTATGGTGGAAATAAAAAAGCAAGGTCTGATTTCAGAGCTCCAGATATGATTGGTCCATCAAATCTTTATACCACCAATTTCATTAACTAAACCTACAGACTTATAAGCAGCTTTCAAATTTCTTTCCTGACTGTTTTAACAATATTGGCACCCCATTATTTTCAAATTCTGCAAGAAAACAAAATGATTTAAGGAGTGGCATCTGTAGGATTATCAATAATCTTAGTTACAACTGTGCCCAAAATACAAAATTCCATAAATGTAATTAGAAGTTTGAAGAGTCCTTTCTGTTATTCTCAGTAGCAGAAAAATTGGGCTCAGTTATTTATTATGAGCCTAGCTGAGTTATGGTTTGTTCAAGACATCTCATGTTATATATCCCCATGTAGAAAGGTAACATTGTAAGGTTAATATTTCATTATTACTTGGAAGAAATGAAATAAATATATCATACCAAAAACAATATTTTGGACGCTGCCAATTCAAAAGCTCTCAGCACTTATTAAAAATGTAGTGAAACCAATTCTTAAATACTTACTTCATATAAAAGAGAAGAAATACTTCACATATCCTCGACTGAGTATTTAACAGTGAAAATTAATTCAAAATATTTCCCTCTGTCTTGTAGAGAGCTTCAAAATTATTTAGAACTCTTCTAAGTAAAAGACAATATTTACTCTGGTCTTGTGTTATACAGTAGACTTGACAAACACGGATGTAAGTGCTCTGGCTATTCAACTAAGAACCTGATTTGCCTAGAATATTGAATGGATGCAGTTACTAGGAATAATCTATCTTCTCCCTTCCCCTCATCTCTTCTCTCCTCTTTCCTCACCTCTCCTCTTTTCTTTTCCTTTGATTAAGAGGCCTGCTGTTTGGGGATTTTATGATTTTACTTACCAGTCTTCCTTTGCCTTATTTTAACAAGAACCAAAATAACCATGACAGCAAAAAGTAGAAGTAGAACAGGAACTGGTATTACAATTGCCAATAGATTTTGCTCAGTGTATGAAGATCTGAAAATAGATATAGCATAAATGTCCACAAGATCCTTTACTAGAGTTTGGAGTTTATTTATTCATAGTCTATCCATAAAAATTTTTCGCTGATGGGGTCCAGGAGAAGAACCTTCTCTACTGTGGTTCCTGCCCTTTGGAACATCTTACCCCACCCCTTACATGAGATCTGCCCCCATCTTCCTGACCTTCCATAAGGGCCTGAAAACCTCAATCTGACAATTGGCTTGGGGCCCCAGTAGTGGGTTTCATGCTAGAGGTGGTTGATGGACTAATGGCAGATCCCACCTTACACCCTGCATACCTTTTCCTTCCCTTCCCATCTTTTTACCTTAACTTATAATTTTATTGAAATATAGATTTGTATTGTTTATTGCTTTTAACTTTGTAAGCTGCCACAGTTGCCCTGAGGTGATATGGGCAGCAAATAAATTTAATAAATAAATAAATAGTCCAGTTTAATACCCATAAAAGTAATCAAAAGTTAGAAGAAAAATTTGAATAGTTAATAATTCAAGGAAGGAACTAAATCATTTCTATAAGCCATATCTATTGATAAGTATTTTGCAACCTTTTTGAAGTACAGGTAGTCCTTGACTTACAACCATAAATGAGCCCACAAATTATGTTGCTAAGTGAGAAATTTGTTGAGTTTTGCCCCATTTTATGACTTTTCTTGCCACATTTGTTTAAATGAATCCCTGTAGTTGTTAAAATAGTAGCACGGCCGTTAAGTGAATCCAGCTTCCCCGTTGACTTTGCTTGTCAGAAGGTCACAAAAGGGGATCACATCACTCTGGGATATTGCAACCATCATAAATATGAACCAGTTGTCAAGCATCCAAGTGTAAATCACATGACCATAGGGATGCTCCAACAGTCATAAGTGTAAAAAATGGTCATAGTGAACAGTGACTAAATGAACTGTTGTAAGTTGAGGACTACCTGTATCTGGAAATTGGCTAAATAAAAGAGAAGAATCATCATCTGGATCATAAAAACACTTAAATACTGATTAGAAATTTATCACATATGCTGTTAAAATACCTATTGTACATTTAGTGTAATACCAACCATCAGGAAATATAATTGTTCCCATGATGAAGAGGACATTATCAGTCATAATGATTCCACCTAATACTGAGGAAAATTGTAGATGATAACATTGAATGTTCTGGCTTTTAAGAAACTAACTCTTCATTCTATTTTGTGGGGGGGGAGAGGTGTAGATTTGGTTACCTCTTCGAGCAAGTGAGTAGGAATTATAACTGGTGGGTTAAGACCATCTGGAAACCTCTGGAAACTTCAACTGCTCCAGAATGCAGCAGTGTGAACAGTGATAGGCAAGTGACACCCCTGTTAAATGAACTACATTGGTTGTTACTTTGCTTTTGAGTGTGATTCGAGGTGCTTATCATGATTTGTGAGGCTTTATTTCACCTGGTTTTCTTGATGGACCTTTCTTGTAGTGTTGGTCTTGATCCAACAGGATTGGCATACCTTTGATTAATCAGTGCCTTCTATAGGGACCTTGGAAGTGTGCCTTTTCTGGCAAGATGCCAGCCATCTGAAATATGGTAAACCCTCCCCAGTTTATTCAAGACTAGTTACTTTTATCTCAGTTGATGCACCTGATGGCATTCTGGAGGACTTTAAATGCCTGACCCAGTTTCAGCTTTGGGCTAATCCTCAATTTACAACTATAATTGAGTTGGATTTATGGTTGCAAGTTGAGGGACCGATGTGATCAGAAGTAATTTTATGATCTTTTTAGAGCACTCATTAAGTAAATGCTGCAGTTGTCAGGCAAACCTATTCATTTGAATGGCTGTTTTTTGCTGGAAGCCAACAAAAAACACCAAAAACCTACAAGAAAAACGTTGCATATTATGGCCATTGCTATACATCTGCCAGAATTGATTGGATTTGGGTCACATAACGACTGGGTCTCAGTTTCAAACACCTTGCATGGTTTTAATTAGTGAGTGCTCTCCTCAGTATTGTACAATAAACAATATCATGGTCTAAGAATTAGGAGAATCACATTTACATCATATTATAGAAAGTCTCCCCAGCTTAATGCTATACTGAGGAAGTTGGTGCCAATGTCCAACCACTAGATTTTTGTACTAAATTGGGAAAGGTAAAATTAAAACAAGTTGATGCCGTCAATCTGAAACAAACATAAGACAGAAGTAGAGAGTTCAGGTGAAAGGACAGGCTGAATCACTGTAAAGATCTGACTGTTCTCCTATGCTTTGAGTCAGGGTGACTGAAGCCCCTTTTGTTGGATGTGGAAAGTTATTGGGTGTCTGCGAGGTTTATCTTCTCTCTCTCTCTCTCTCTCTCTCCCTCTGTTCTGTTCTGTTCTGTTCTAGTTTGGTTTTGTTACTTGTTGCCTCGTATTAAACTATTTTCACATTGTATGATGTTTTGTGAGCCATCTGGAGTCAGGTGGCATAAAATCAAACAACCAGAAATTTGTAAGAATAAAATTAGGAATCAGCAGAGATCATTAAGAGTTGCTCCACTGGCATCTGTCTTTTGGGCTTGATGGAAAACTTTTTCCTTTTTTTTAAACTCATGTTTAACACGCAAAACAAGATTACTTAATTAGTCAAAAATTACCTTTAAATCATATGGGAACTGCAAATTTGTTTGGTCATAGGAAGGTATAGCACTTTAGTTTTAGAATATTTAATTACTGCAGGGATGTGTTTGTTGCCCTACATGTTGAATATGTAATTATTGCATTGAGATTGCTTAGGCATGCAGAGAAAGATCTGAGGAGTGAAGCTTCAAGGAAGAAGATGACTGGAAATAAATGCCAAGATATTTAAAAGCATTTACCTGCTCAGTTCAGTTGCTGTTGATCTTCCAACTGTGGGGGTGATTAGGGTGCTGCAATGTGAATATACCTTTGTTTGTGCATGATTAATTTCTAGTATTTTAGGTTGCAAAGGGAAGGTATTGTGTGAAGCCCGCGTTGCAACTCTATTTGAGATATAGACAAGATTATTCATTATTACCATAAAGCAGATTGGAGGTGGTTTTTCTAGCCAAGAAATGGGGATGGAATTCTGCTTTACTAAGAGCCTAAACAATGAATACCACTGATATAAAAATTAAATAATGGGAGTGGGCAAGTCCTTTTTGATTCTCTTAAAATTTGGAATAAGGGGCGTCGATTTTTCACTATTTGAGTATTGGATCTTGGCTTTTTAGTACCTTTGTGCAACATCATAAATTGCACAAACATGCATCAGTAGAGGAAGCTGCTAATTTTTTGAACAACCACTCATGAGGAATTGAATCAAATTCTGCATTTGGAGTGATAAAAGCAACAAAAGAAACAGTCTATTTCACAAGAAGGGGTGCAAAGTAATGCATTGTTCCTTAGCAGAAAAACCTGTTTCCCACGTCATTATAGTTGGTCTGTCCACTGTATATGGCAGGGCATGAAGCCTATACATTGGACAGATGAATAGAAGAATAAGTACCCGCCTAGATGAACACAAAAATGCAGTAAAAAAGCTGGAACACACTTCCTCACTAGTCCAACACATGAAAGCCACAGGTTGTAGCATCGACTTCAATGGCACCAAAACCCTAGCCACTATAGAAAACCCCAGCTACAGAATTATCAGAGAAGCCATAGAGATTGAAAAAAGACCTGAAAGCATGAATAGAAGAGATGATTCCACCAGACTGTCAATTATCTGGAAGCCTGTACTCTCAAGCAAAAAAATCTCCACACCACAAGCCAGGCAAACATCTGGGCACAAACAGACTCCCCCTGATACCTCCAGCTCAAACACACCCCAACCAGGCACCCAGATGAAACCTAGCTTCCTAATAAATGATAGCCGTCCGTTTACCCGAAGCCAAGCTGCACTAAAGACCTCCAATAAAGTAACACAATGCTGCCAGCCAATCAAGACAAAAAAAGCTACAAAACAGACAGAAGATACTAGAAACACCAATCAAGCAGAACACAGCAAACTCCAAGACCAATAAACACAGACCAAGACTCCAAGACCAATCAGGATGAAGAAAAAACCATTCTGGCACAGCAGTAGGCTAGCGCCAAATTTAAAACAGAAACGGCTGTGAAAGTCTGACTCACAGACGAACACAATACAGAAGCCTGATGATGGCAGTAATGACATGGGAAAATACCCAAACAAAGCTGAACACCATACATATAAATACCCGCGAAAACTTAAGAAAACAAATATATATATAAGAAAACAAATATATATATATAAGAAAACAAATATATATATATAAGAAAACAAATATATATATATATAAGAAAACAAA